ATGAAGTTGGCTATTTGAGGGTAGGAGGAAGGAGACAAGAGAAATTCCCATTGTAGGTTGTTTTTGGAGTTGGTGTTCCAAGACCACTCTCAGGGGCTAAGACTAGTGCTCAGTTGCAGGGCTGTCCCTCTACCATCTCTCAAAGTCCCCAAGTAGAGAAAGGGTGAGGAGGTCTTGGGTGGGGGCAGAGGGAGAAGGTACACAGGAAGAACTGTCCCCTCCCCTGCTGCTGACCAAAGGTACACTTTATAACCTCCCAGATAATCCCAAGGTCATCAGGCTCAACCATTGCCCCACTCTGCCCCTCCCTTTCTCCTATGCTGAGAAGCTCAGGGGCCAGCCCCAGCCTTGGAGCCCAGAGGATCAGGTCAGGGGTTAGACAATTGGATTGCCTAATTCGGAAGCCACTCTTTCCTTCTATTCCCCTTCCCCAAGCTGGCCAATAAAGGGGATCCCCAGGCAGATCACTGAGCTCCAGGAAGACTCCATGTCAGGAAGGGAGAATGCCTGTATTGTGGGAGGACTGCCATGATTTCAGATCATTTAAGGGGAGGTGGTCCAGTGGCACAGGTGGGCCAATGAGAAGGCAGTGACAGGGAGAAATAAATTCTCAGCCCCTCCTTTCTGGCTTTCCGAAGGGGGACTTTAAGTCTAGAGGAGGAAGGGAAGTTCCATGCTAGAGGAGGGAAGAATTCCAGGCTTTCTGGCTTCATTGATTGGTTCATTCATTGATGTTACACCAGAGTTTGGGTTCTGGATTTCTACAGAGAGAAACTCTGTTTTCCTGAAGTGGTCATGGGTAATAAAATCAGGTGGAAAGGGGCTTCTGAGGCCCAGAGTAGTATACCTTTTGAACTCACAGAATGTTAAAGCAGAAAAGAATTTCTTCAGTCACCTGATCCGGCCCTTTATTCCTAGCTTGGCTTAGGAGGAGGAAGGGGCTCCAGGCCAGGGCAGCTGGCCAAACTGGCCTTCCTCTAGGGCTCCCCCTCCCCCTCCCACAATGTACACAGTCACCTTCCCAAGGCTCAAGTGCCTGCCCGGTCACTGGCCTCCAAGGCCATGCAGCCCGTTTTCTTCCTGCTCCTAAATGTCAGCTCCCCTCACAGTCATCTCAGTGGCCCTGGTTTTTGTGAGCTTTCTCAGGAGAGAGGCACAGGAAATACCCAGTGTCATCTCTCACCTGACTCACCCCATAGGGTCCAGGGAAATCTTGGGATGGAGGGTGGTGTGCCAGGGTTCTAGAAAGATCAGATTTGTCCTGATGTCCTCACCCCTCCTAGAGAGAGGGAGAGGGGGGATTGGCAGGTGTGTGCTGCTGAAAGGTGTGAGTATGTACCTTTGAGTTCAGCCAAGCTGACTGCAGTTTGAAGGGGAGGATGATGGTTCCGTGATGAGCTCTTCTGGGAAGGGTTGGTTGACACTAGGGGGAGGAAGGGAAGGGAGGTCTTGGAGCAGTCAGCTCAGAGACTGCTGGCATTGGTAGAAGAAGCGGGAGGTGGGGTGAAAGGTTTCTTTTATTACTTGCAGACAGAGGAGATGTTCTTGATGGGAAAGAGGCAGAAAAGAGATCTCCCTCCATTGCCAGGATCCCTGCCCACCTTCTCCCTCCTTAGAACAGAAGGCTTGCATTTATACTTGAGGTTCCTCCGTTGGTCTGCACAATTTTGCTCCCCTCCTCCCCTGAGAGTGCCCTTAGCCCCTGGACTTTGACCAAAGAGGACAAGCTTTGGGGATGGACAGTCCTAACATCTTTGTGGCCAAAAGGCAGCTCTCAAAGGGGAGAGTTTTATGATGGGAGGGAGGGGAGATGTGGGTGGGAGGTGTGGGAGTGAGCAGCTCACCCCAGTTAGACCCCTGTTGGGTTTCATAGGAGCTGGCTGCTGAATGTAAGAGTGCAGGCTACCCCGGGACTTTGATCCCCTACAGATGTGACCTGTCGAATGAGGAGGACATCCTCTCCATGTTCTCTGCTGTCCGCTCTCAGCACAGTGGTGTGGACATCTGTATCAACAATGCTGGCTTGGCCCGGCCTGATAGCCTGCTGTCAGGCAGCACCAGCGGCTGGAAGGACATGTTCAACGTAAGGGCTCAGGGGCCTGGGGCAGTGTGGGCGGGGGCTGGGAGGAGAGCAGAGCTGGGTCTGTGAGCTGGAGGCTGGAGGGATAGGATATTCAGTAAGACCTTTGGCTTCCTGCTAGGGGCATCTTCACTCTCCCCTTCTTCTTCCCCTACCAGCAGGGTAGTAAGTGGGTACATGCCCATATCTTCTCAGCTCTCCTTTCCTTTGTGCTCCGGGTGTGGTTCTTCAAGTCTAGACTGATTCTGCCATATTGGAAGAAAGACTGGTATGGAAGAGAACTGCTGTTTACTGAATGTCCCTGTGTATCAGCAATGTGTGGTATGCTTGAGAACATGGTCTTAAAGGATGAAAAGGAACAGAGAAAAGAGATAATATCCTTACCCAGTCCTGCTATCAAGCAGGGTATCATCAAGCAGGTTACTGTCTCTGAGCTTCCATCTTGTCACATTTAATTGGGGTGAACACCCTGTGTCATCAGTATCTGGGGTCACAAACTCCAGTGTTCCCTAGGTCAAGGTAATACATAAAGGAATGAAGTAAGCCAAGTGTGGTCTGCAGTGCATGAGAGAAATGTGTTCACTGCTCAAATCCGAGAGAGTTGCTCTCTAATAGTGTGGACGATCTTGCAATTTCTTTAAGAGAAGCAGAGAGCCTGTATTTTTATGTGACACTCCCACCTGTCCCATTCACTAAAACATCAGGTCCACCAGGGCAAGGACTTTTGTCTGTTTTATTTTCTGGGACAGCTCCACTCATAAGCCCTCCACAGATACTTATTGAATGAATGAGTATGTGTTGGGAAAGTATTTATTTATTGTGGTGCTAGGGATTGAACACAGGGTTTTGTGTATGCTATGCAAGTGCCCTACCATTGAACTATTTCACAAACCCTTTTTTGATATTTTAAAGCCAATACATAGGCCAAACACAGCCTTCAGGAATAGGTATTCAACTTCTGGGCTGCATTGTGGGGGAAGCATTAGGGTATGATGAAAGTATTCTGAAAAGCTGAAAGCAGTGTCCAAACAGGATGCTTCTTTTCTCTCATAATCCTTTCATACCTGCATTGGTAGATTTTGTATTTGTTTTGGGGTTTTTTTGTGTTTTTTTTGGTACTGGGATCGAACTCGGGACTTTGCACTTTCGAGGCAGGCGGTGGCACCACTGAGCTAAATTCCCAGCCCCTGCATTGGTAGATTTTGTATCTAATAGGTGCTTGGGCCTGGAAATGAAACAGTGAACAATGGAAAGGAAGGCACTGTCCTCAGAGAGCCTTCTGGGGGATCCCGGTGACGGCCCTTACCTACTACAGTGGGTCTCTAAACTTGGATCTCAACTTGCCCATCTGTAAAATAAGGGACTTACATCTCTAAGCCCCCCTTTTGGATGAACGTTGTCTATTAGGATCATTCTGGGCGGCATCTTCTTCCCCATCCTGGCCCCTAGATGTAGGAGATTTCCTCACTTGGTCCCAGGGGTTCATTTCTCCTTTCCATCTGCCCCACAAAGCTACCTGCTAAGAGGACCAGAAACAGGGCTGAGAACCCTCCTATGTTCCAGGACCCATCATCTTGCTGCCACCATGAGTACGAGGAAGGTTCACACTGAGAGTTCTCTATCCGATGCCTGGTTGACACCTGATAAAGAGAGCCAGCTAGTATCTGCCAGCAGGTCTCTCTTCCCAAGAGGCACAAGGTCCAGCTGAAAGCTTTATCAAAGCTTGTCCTCCTGGCCTGGAGGCTGAGGGGTGGGCCTGGGCAGGTGCTTCACAGCCGATATTGCTTCAGGCCTCTGTTGCATGAAGGGTAGGGATTTGGGGTCACATCTGCCAGAGGGAGCAGGAGTGGCAAGTGACCCTACTTCCAGGTGGGACACAGGCTGAAGGCAGGTATAAAAGGCAGGAGGGTAGGCCGTCCTCCTCCTCCTCACCTACAGAGAGGGGACAGGAGCAGAGTGGCAGGCTGAGCAAGGTGGGGGGAGGCTGGGGTCTGTGCTTCAGGAGATTCTTAAAGCCTTTGAGGGAGGTTTTCAGTCTGTGTGGGAGGGAGTAGATATAGGGACACTGTCACAGAGAAGGGTAAGCTATTTGGGGAAGAAAAGGAGATGGTTCTCTAAAGCAGAGGTGGCTAAGCTAGTCTCCTGGGTCCAGCTGGGTTTGGGGGGTTTCCTTTCCTACTTGGGGGGTCAGCCAAGAGAAGAACTATCTGCTGTCAGCTTTTCTGGAAGGTGCACCTACATGGAAGGTCTCTGGGAGGACCTGGACACTGGAATGTCACACCACCCTCTCCCCATGGAGCTCAGCAGCTCCATCAGCTGGTCTGTTGGGCCCAAGCTGGAAACACCCCATTGCCTCCCCTGGCTCACAGGTGAATGTGCTGGCGCTCAGCATCTGCACCCGGGAAGCCTACCAGTCCATGAAGGAGCGCAGTGTGGATGACGGGCACATCATTAACATCAACAGGTGAGGGTGGGCGCCGGAGGTGGAGCCCAGGTAACCGTTGGCCTCCATACTGGGTAATCTGCTGTAGCACATGTGAGCTCTATGGGCCCCAGTTTCTTTGCTGGTAAAATGGGGATTTCATTCCAACTTAATATCCAAATGGCATGATTGTGGTGAGGGAAAAATTGTTGTCCAGTGCCAGCCCCTGGTTGCTGAGGTGGGCAGCACAGCCCCTTCTGTCTGCAAGTCAAAACCTGAGGACTCTCCTGGGACTGAGCATCTCCATCCTCCAGGCCCTGAAACAAACCCTCCTGGTGGCACAAAGAGACCATACAGGTTCTGCCTTGGGGGAGCCCCAATCCGAGGGGGGCAAAGGCTCCTTCCTGGCTCACAGGTTCCCCAGTAGAGCTGTGTCCTTGAGCACACAGATAGAGTGGCAGTGCTTCTGATATCCAGAATGACCCAGATAGTTCATTCCATGGTCAACAGAAGGATGACTTTAAGGCAGAGGAAGGTTACAAGAGCTGCTGGGATATCAGGCTAGGTGGCTGAAGGCTTCCTGTCTGCCTCTGGGTAGCGAGATGGACCAGAAAGTCAGGGAGCACTGCCAGTTTCTGCAGAGCTTCACTCTCTCCTCTCCACCCTCCTTCCGCGCAGCATGTGTGGCCACCGAATCCTACAAGACAGTGTGATGCATTTCTATACCGCAACCAAGTATGCTGTCACTGCGCTGACTGAGGGACTGAGGCACGAGCTTCGGGAGGCCCAGTCCCACATTCGAGCCACGGTGAGGCTGTGGCCTACCCCTGGTGGGGACAAGGTGGGCAAAGGCCCTCCCACCTTCATGTGCTGCCCAGGAAGCCCTGTCCAGGGTGGGCTGCTGAGAGCCCCTGGGAGTGGACAGGGTACAGAACTCCTGGGCTCTGCTGTCACATGCGTGGTCCTACTCAGTCCTTGAGGATCCTCATTTCATTCATCCAGAAGCCAGTGACCACACTTAGACTTAAAGGTGGGAGAAGGCTGACTTCAGGGAAACATGGTGGAATAAGACTAAGAGAAAGCAAGGGACTATGGGAAGCCAGGTATACATGGCCTGGATAGCAGGATTCTGGGCTCTTCCCTTGAGGGCTGGATGACCTTGGACAATCATTGAACTTCTTCTAGGATTAGCTTTCTCATGTGGAGAAAGGAGTTGATGATCTCCTCCTGATTGTGAGGCTTTAAGGAACCCCACTTTGTAAAGGACTTACCTGGCTGTGTAGATAGTTGGGAACATCATGATCATTGCCAATGACATCTTTGGAGGGAGGGGTCAGTATCTGGACATTGGACAGCCATCCCTGGGAAGCCGGGCCCTGTGGCCTCCATCCTTTCTCCCCACCCTACCCAAGGCCTGGCAAAGGTCTACCCCTGAACAGGCCCTCTCTGTTGGCCCAGTGCATCTCTCCAGGCTTGGTGGAGACACAGTTCGCCTTCAAACTCCATGACAAGGACCCTGAGAGAGCAGCTGCTACCTATGAATGCATCAAGGTGGGGCCCAGTAAAGGCAGCTCCTAGGTGAAGGCAAAGGGAACCCTGGCCTTCAGACTCCACCCTTCTGGCCAGTTTATCACCCCTCCTGGAGGGCTGGGGTGGGAATATGGATGCTGGAGAGGACCTCCATGGTGGGGAGGAACTTGGGTCCATTCTATCCTTGTCTCTCAATTCTTTACCTTGGTGCTCTTAGTGTCTCAAACCCGAGGATGTGGCTGAGGCTGTCATCTACGTCCTCAGCTGTCCCCCACATGTCCAGGTGAGTCTAGCCTTGACTGTCCACGCCCTGGAAGAGTCTAACCATCCCCAGAGAGGGGAGTAGGGAGGCCTTAAGAGGGTGGGGAGTGTCCAGCCACCTCAAGCCTTGTGCCTTCCACAGATTGGAGACATCCAGATGAGGCCCACGGAACAGGTGACCTAGTGTCCAGTGGGGAGCTCCTCCTCTCTGCCCCTCATGGCTTGGCTCCTGCCTGTGGATTTTAGGTGTTGATTTCTGGACCCCTGGATTCCACTTTCTAACCCCACCCCCACCAAGGGCTAGAAAATTTGTAAAAGGTTTTAAAATCAGCTTGTCAAATTATTTCCAATGCAAATGTGAAAAAATGGGCAGGGCAAAGGAGGTGGGGTCCATGATTATTTTACCTGTTAGTTTGTTCTGGGTCCCTTTCTTGGGCTCCTTGGCCTTTGTCTGCTCTCCTAAGTCTCTTTCTTCTCTTTGATCTGGGAATGGGAATGTGGCCTAAAGGGAGGCTTCCCTCTATCTTCTTGCATCCCAGCCTCTTCCCTTCAGGGTTGAGGTGGCAGAGAGAGTCCCTCACCTTATATTCGAATGGTTATCCAGGTCTCCAGCCCTCCCCGCCCCCCGCCGCCAGCTCTCCACCCCAATCTTGGCTTCCTGCCTCCAGTGAGGTCATCACTCCCTTCAATGACAGCAGAATACCAGAGCCTGACTTCACTGTGATGATTAAAAAAGGAAAAATGGCAACCAACCTACCTTGGTTTCAGGAGTGTCTTTCAATTGTTCCCCCTTCTCCGTGGTCAGAGAGATTGTGTCTCAGAATTTCTTCAAGGTGAGTGGGAGGCCGGGTCGGTTTGGGGCATCTCTCCTGGAGTTCGGATTACCACAGGAAAGGGTTGGATTAGGTCTTGAAAATGGACAGGTGTTTCCGAAGACAAAGAGAAGGCATACAGATGTGCAAGGTTGGGGCCCCTGTAAGAGCGTGCAGTGTTGTGTGAACTACACACAACTTCGTGCAGGAGCAAGGTGGGGATGCAAAGGTGGCCCCTGCCTGTGTCACTGGGGGTCTGAGTGCCGAGGAGCAGTCTGGCTCTTACCTGTGGCCAGCCCGATCAGCTGGCTTCTTGGCAGAGACTCGACAGGCTCACAGCTGTCCCTTCGGGAGAGAGTCAGCGGCCAAAGAGTGGGAAGAATCTCCCGGGTCCTGCTGACCGGTAGTGAGGGTTTGACAAGAAGCTTCTGAGGACAGTCACCGGCAGCTGGATGTAGGAAGGGAGCCACCAAGGTTGAACAGGAAGGCCATGAGATTCCTGAAATTGTCCTTTGCTGCTGCTTGGGTGAATGAGCCCTCCAGCCCCCAGCTACCTGGGACTTCTCCGCAAACTGGGTACCGCCAGCGAGGTAGGGTCAGCTCAGCTTCAGCACTGTCTCCCCACCGGGGGCGGTGGAGGGCGCGGATCAGCCAGCCCGGCAGGGGGCACTATAGGGATGTCCTGCGGGTTGGGCATGCGCAGTGCACTGCTGGGCAGGGGGCGGGCCTCCGGAACCCGGAAGCGGAAGGCCAGTGTGGGAACCCGGGAAGGAAATAGCTGTAGCTCAGTAGTTGGTTTCAGGGCAGTCCTGGAGTAGGTAGCCGGGGCTGTCTGTCCTTGTCTGAAGGAACAGAGTGAGGACAGCTGTCGGGTCCTCTTCACCTGAATGTGAGCATCGAGTTCCCAGCGCAGCCCGTGCTATGGGGCTGCTCTGGACCATCAGGGCCGCGACCCGCGGTTGCTCGGATCGCCTCGTCGCCCGTCATTTCTCCCAAGCGGCTCGGCGAGAGGTGCGGCCTGGTGGGGAGGAACTAAGGCGCCTGCGGCTGGATGACTTGGCCCCGACCCCACGGCTAGAGCTGCTGTTTGGCCTGTCCCCCTGTCTCTTGGCTCTGCGGGCCGCCCGCCGCCGCGTGGCCCGGCTCCTGCTCCAGGCCGGCGGGGCTGGCCTACAGGAGGCGCGGGCCGAGCTGCTCCGGACCGCAGAGGCGCGGGACATCCCAGTTCTTCGGCCCAGGCGGCAGAAGCTGGATGCCCTGTGCCACTACCAGATGCATCAAGGCGTCTGCATGGAGGTGACTCCTCTGCGGCCCCAGCCGTACACTGAGCCCGGGGAGGCGAGCCCAAGCGATGACCCCCAGCAGCTGTGGCTGGTCCTTGAGGGGCTCCAGGATCCCCGGAATCTTGGTGCTGTGCTGCGTTCCGCTCACTTCCTCGGCGTGGACAAAATCATCATCAGCCGCAGAAACAGGCACGGGCATCCCTTATTTCCCGCGTGGCCAAGTAGGAGGCACAACCGAGTTCCTAACCACCTTGGCCTTTGGGTGCTCCCTCAGACATGCCGCACCATCGCCAAGCTCCTCACCCTAAGCCCTGGGAGCCCGGGAGTGGGTGGGGCGCGAGGCTTAAGATCGCCCAGCCTAAAGGGGGAATGGGGAATCTTTGCAGCTGCCCGCTCACTCCAATAGTCAGCAAGGCCAGCGCGGGGGCTATGGAGGTGATGGACGTGTTCTCCACCAATGACCTGCCTGGTTTTTTACAGGTAATGAGGGGCGAGAGGGAAAAGAGCAGAAAGAGCCTGTAGCCCGACCACTTCAAAAGCTCTCAGCCAGCAGCGGATGGGGGAAGGGAACAGAGGAGGGGATGTTGACATGGATTCCTGTGGCTTCCTAAATCCCATTGGGAAGGGAAGGGTTCCGGAGAGTTTTTTTCTTAAACTACAAATGGAGTGCTGTCTGAAGTTAGGAACTTCCTGGAGTCATTCCCTCTTCTGTAAGTCTACCTCCTTGTCTCATTGCCGGCAGAGTAGTTCTCCAGTAGTCCTTCCTGGGGAGATCTGGGTTCCTTGAGTAGGGAGCATCTTGAAAGAATCGTTGAGCTAGACTTTTTAAGAAGTGTAAAGTTTATTGGGGAGACATGAAGGTGAGAATCTTTTTTTAAAATATTAATATGTTTGCAGCACATGGTAATTACAGCCATCGTGGGGACTTGGTACATGTACATAACACATCTTACTTCTTTTTACTTCCCCTTCCCTTCCCCTCCTCCTTCCATACCTCCCTCCAAAACCTGTATGAGTTTGATATCTAGGAAGGGCAAAGTTCAGCAAGCCCCTCTCCGGTTCCTATAGCTGTCTTCAGCTGTGTTTCCTTTGCTGGACACACGGGGGCAGTATTGCCCTGCATTTGGCAGCCCCTGTGCTACCTGCGCCCCCCCCCCCCCAAGCCCCTCTCCGGTTCCTATAGCTGTCTTCAGCTGTGTTTCCTTTGCTGGACACACGGGGGCAGTATTGCCCTGCATTTGGCAGCCCCTGTGCTACCTGCGCCCCCCCCCCCCCATCCCTCTTGAAAAGAAGGGGAAGAGCTCTGGGATGGGTTTAGAACAATACTGCCCAGTAAACACAACACAACTCTTACATATACTTTTGGATTTTCTATAGTAGCCACGTTGAAAAGTAAAAAGAAGCAGGTTGAAATTAATTTTGCTATTTTACCCAGTATATATACAATATTATCATTTCTACATAAATTCATTCAAACTATTATTATTGGGCTGGGGATTTAGCTCAGTGGTTCTGGCACCTGCCTTGAAAGCGCACAGTCCCGAGTTCGATCCCCGATACCAAAAAAAACCCAAAAACCCCCCAAACAAATAAACTATTATTATTAACTATCAGTGCAGTACTGGAGATTGAGGCCAGGGCTTTTTCATTGAGCTACATTCCCAACCTTTTTATTTTTTATTTTTTAATTTGAGATAGGATCTTGATAATTGCCCAGGCTGGGCTTGAACTTGCAATTCACCTGGCTTAACCCCCCCCCCCCCCCAAATAGCTGGGATTACAGGTGTGCTCCACTACCCCTGGCTCATTTTTATATTATTAATGAAATATTTTCTGTCTCACCTTAAAATGTTTACATATAGCACATCTGAATTTGGACTGGCCATATTTCAGTTGCTTAATAATCACGCAAAGCTAGTGGTTACTGTATGGAACAGCACATGTTTTGTGGCTGTGCTTCTCTTTGGGAGCCCCCAGCAGAGGAATGGTGGCCAAGCCCGTAGGAGAGGGGGTTCCCCCTCCTCACTTCCAGCCCCTGAACCAGTAGCTTCTGAAAAAACAAAAACACTGTACAGGGCACTTCCTAAAGCTCAAGTCATTACCTCTGCCTCGTCCCGTCAGCTGCCGGGCCCAGAGCGTTGTCTTCCCTCCTGTTACTGTGGGAGAACCAGAGGGCCAGGTGTGCTTGGTGCCCACCTGCAATCCCAGCTACACAGGCTGAGGCAGGAGCATCTCAAATTGGAGGCCAGCCTGGGCTACTTAGTGAGACCCTGTTCAAAAACAGAATTTAAAAAAGGACTAGGGGAATAGCTCAGTGGGAAAGTGCCTGCCTAACAGGCATGAAGGACTGAATTTAATCTCCAGTTCTAGGGGGAAGAAAGAGAAACAACTGGAGGTCCTCCAGGCAGAGGTTAGGACTGGGCCTCACCCCCTCCTGCCTACTCCAAGGCACTGCTCCAGGAGTTTCCCACCCCTCTTTTGCATCATCATCATGCCAGTAAACATTTTCTTCCCCTTCTGTCTTGACTTCTATCAGTTGGATCTTCAACCCCCAGCTACATCAAAGCCCTTGACAAGGTTGCAGAGCTCGTGTTGCTCTAGCCAAGGATCAGTCCTCAGTCCATCTGTCTTGGCAGAGATGACCGCACCCTCCTCCCTGTGAGACTCTTCAACCTGGATCTTGTCTTTTTCAGTGTTAGGGATCTAACCCAAGGCCTCCTGGAACAAGCTAGGCAGAGATTCTACCCCGGAGCCACGCTCTAGCCTACACTTCACCTGGTTTTCCTCCTGCCTCGCTGTACACTCTCAGAGTCATCTTTGATGATTCGCCCTCACCAGACCTCTAGACATTAGCATTTCCTAGGTCTCACGGCTTTAAATACCACCTGTATTCCAATGCCTCCTAAATGGAGACCCTTGCCTGGATCGTCTGGTTGCCTCCATAGCAGCTCTTTCTGTCTTGAGGCCATTTCACGCATTTCCAAAGCCTTCCTTCCAAGGGGGCTTACCCAGCCCAATTGATGGTAGCTCCATCCTGTTGGTGACTGAGCCCAGAAACTATGGCAACATCCTTGACTTCCTGTTCTCATGCCCATGTCCCCCGTCACCAAATCCTTCCAGCTTTACCGCGGAGTTCTTTCCATGCTCTCAGCATTTCTCACCATCCGTATGGCTGCCACCCTCGCCCGGCCACCAGCTCATCTTGACCGATTGTGGAAACCTCGCCAGTCTCCTTGCATTGCTCTTGGCGCTCAGCACAGCAGGCAGAGATTCTGTTGAAATATAAATCAGTCTTGTGTTGTTTCTCTGCTCCAACCTTTCAAAGCATTTCCATCTTGGAGTAAAAGTCAGAGTCCTTCCAGGGCCCTTTGAGGTCCTACCTCCATGATAGCGAATTGATGGCCTGTGTTGCCCCAGTGGGCACGAGCCCTCTGTTAGCACATAAGCCAAGTTGCCATGTTGTTTTTTCTAAACTAAAACCCCAGTATTCAGGCTTAATTGCAGTGTTGGCACTTGGCGATAAATAAGTGGGTTTGGGAATGCAGTTTGGGCACTCGGTCTCTAAAAGGCTCGTCATCACGGCCCTACCTTTTGTGGCCATTGTTCCGTCTACCTTACTTTTCCTCAGATATGCAAGGTAAGTGAGGCCTTTGTACTCGAAGATCTCTGCGTGGAATATTCTTCCCCTAAAGCTCTGCATGATGCTGTCTGATCATCTTCAGGTCTGTACTCAAATGTTACTTCAAGGAGGCTTTTCCTAAATGCTTCCACAAGGCTGAGATTTTGGTCTTTTTTTTTTTTTTTCCTAGTAGTGGGGATTGAACCCAGGGGTGCTACATCCCCAGCCCTTTTTAATTTGAGACCGGGTCTCCCTGTGTTTCCTTGGCTGGCCTTGAACTTGAAATCCTCTGACTCAGCCTTCAGAGTGGCTGGAGTGACGTGTGCTCCCTGTGCCTGGCACAGTCTGTGTTGTTTGTTCATGGCCCTATCCCCAGTTTCTGGAGCCAAGCCTGGCTGGGTTGAAGTATTTAGTAACTGTTGACTAAATTGAATGGATCTGAGTGATTGCAAGGCTGTGCTCCTCCTTGGCCAGGCTCTGATGAAGATAGGATGAGCGAGAACTTGGTGTCTCCTCTTTTTCAGGCCAAAGCTGGACAGGGCTGGCTCGTAGCTGGCACGGTGGGCAGTCTGGCGCCTGAGATTTCCCAGTCCTCCAAGATACCTGTCACTAGTTGCTTAGAGTTCCTCTGGGACCGGCCTACTCTCCTTGTGCTGGGTAGGTAGATGACCCTGCTTTTCTCTGCTCAGATACACATGTCTTGAGCTCTTGGGTGTGCAGCAGGGCTTCCTAACCTCTGCCTGTGCTCTGCAGGGAATGAGGGCTCTGGTCTGTCCCAGGAGGTGCAGGCCTCCTGCCAGCTTCTCCTTACTGTGCTACCTGGTCGTCAGCTGCCTCCTAGACTTGAGTCTTTGAATGTGTCTGTGGCTACAGGTGAGTCTACTCCCCTTTCTTTCTTTTTTTTTTTTTTTAGTACCGGGGATTGAACTCGGGTCCTTGCGCTTGTGCAGCAGGCAGCGAAACCACTGAGCTAAATCCCCAGCCCTACTCCCCTTTCTTGGTGTCCTCTAATCACACAGAGGTAGCTTCCTTCTCATCCCATTTTTCTGGCTTCACGCTGAATAAGCTACTCAATCTTGCCCTGTATCAGTTGCTTTCAGTGCAACTTGGGGAAAATTTTGAAGATGAAATGAGGAAGTACCTGACCTGTGTCAAAGCCTTCATACGTGGTCCTTCCTCTCCTCTGTCCCTGCAGGAATTCTTCTTCACTCCATTTGCAGCCAGAGGAAGGGTTTCTCTGCAGAGGAGGAAAGGGGGCAACTTCTCCAGGACCCTCCAGTGGAAGGACTCAGATTGGCTCAACACCCAGGACTGTGTTCGGGATCAGAAAGAGAAAGGCACAAAGAGGGCTGAGGGGCCATCTGAGCTGTGGGGTACCCGAGTCAGGGTGGCTACAACGCCACCCGTGTGCTACAGTCTGCCTGCATGGGGAGCTAAGGCCCTGTTTATTGACTCCAATGAACTGTGGGGCAGGGGACTTTGAAGTAGAGACCAGAGGAAGTTCAGCCTCCTGTTTTGATGTTGGGCTTGCAGTTGGAGATGGTAGTTTGCTGATTTCCAGGGTGGGCTAGGATGGATGGTGTCTGGGCGCTGCCTGGAAGCCAAAGGAACTGTGCTTCAGGAGGGACCCAACCCAGGGGTCTGATTCTGTGGTGCACCCGAGTGTGGGAATGTTGAGAGGCCGAGGGCCTCGTGCAGGCAGACAACTGCCCCTCTGTGTCCCACAGTGCCTGTCTTTGTCCTCATGTGCCTGGGAACCCTGGTCTGCACCTACCCCTTAGCCCTGTGAGGATGAAATAAAACCATTCAACAAGAGAGTGTGTCTGATTCTTCCAGTAGGTGGCGGCCTCGCTCTTTAGTCCACAGTTTATGAGAAGCTTTTGTAGCTACCTGGGGAAACTCTTGGCCTCAGCCCCACCAGACCGGGAAAGTTAGCAAATACCCTGCCTTACTGCCACCCCCTGCTCCCCACTCCCACCCCCAGGGACCCAGCAGTTAATCCACTGAACCAAAGCCCTCACCTTTGAGTCTGCAAGGTGGTTGAGGACAGGCTTGCTGTTTTGGTTTGGTTTGGTTTGGTTTTGGGGTTTGGGGGGGGGGGTTTGGTACCAGGGACCTTATGCTTGTGATGCAGGCAGTGACAGCTTACTGTTTATTGTACAAACCAGACAGGTGGTGTTCCTGGGATATATAATGAAAATTATATATCCTTTGTACCTTTTTGAATTCTTTTTTCTTTTTCCAGTACCAGGGATTGAACTCAGGACCTTGTGCTTGCCAGGCACGTTCGGTGCCACTGAGCTACATCCCTGGCCCAACAGATGGTACTCCTTCACTAGGGTCCCACAGTGGAGCAGAACCTGCAGCACAAGTCTTGGCCTTGGCTGCACAGTGGACCCACTTAGCAGGCTTCAAAACAACACTGCCACAGCGGCTGAGGCCATGGGCCTGGGTACAACTTAGGTGCTAGGAGTTTTTTTCCTTTTACTTACTTATTTTGGCTAAGTTGCCCAGGCTATTCTTATACATGTGATCCTCTTGCTTCAGCCTCCTAAGTATCTGGCCCAGGCAACAGGAATTCTAAAACTCCCCAAAAGGATCTCATGTGAGAATCGGCAGGGCAGTGTTTCTCAGCCTTGGCATTGGGGCCCGATAATTCTCGACTGAGAGCAGCATTCCTGGCTTCTACCCACTTGGTACCAGTGGCTCTGCTGCCCCTCCAACTTAAACCAAAATGGTCTCCTGACATTGTCACATCATCCCCAATGGAGTACTGCTGCCCTGGACTAGGGTGGGGAGGACAAGGACTCCTGAAAGTCCCCCACACATCTGAGCCTCAGCTCCCTCCTAGATGAAGGGGAAATAAACCTACCTTCCTGGATTCCTGGGAGGAACAACAGGAACTGATGCCTTGTAGGTAATAGATGCTCAATGAATAGTACCCCCTTTCCTGTGGAATCTATCTGGCATGGGTTTATCTTGGAATTCTAGTTTTAATGCCAGTTTAGAACAAAATTTGGACTTGTTTCAAAAGGACCAAAGATCATGTAAAAGTCAAAGTTTTCCTCTCAAGAATGTGGACAAAAGGCCGAGGATTTAGCTCAGTGGTTTCACTGCCTGCCTCGCAAGCACCAGGTCCCGAGTTCGATCCCCAGTAAAAAAAAAAAAAAAAAGAATGTTGACAAAGCCCCCATCCCTGGACTCCACCGTTCCTCACCAGCACCTGTCCCTTTGAGCTGTGTCCCTCACTGACACGAAGTGTCTGAACTCTGCCTGTGTTTGCATCTTTCCCACTCCAGCCTCACCCTTGGCCAGGAGCCTAGCATGGTAATTTTTAACTGCGGCTGGACCTTGGAGCCACCAGGTCAGGGATGGGGAAAGTTTGTAGTATTCCAGACACCAGACTCATTAAGTAACAACCTCTAGGGAAGGAGCCAGGCATTGATATTTCCAGAAGATCCTCTAGCTGATACTGTGCCACTGGATTCAAGAGTCGCTGGCTTTTGAGCCACCTGCTCAGGTACAAGCAGGGTCCACAGTTACACCCCGAAGCATATTCACACCTGTGCTCGTCAGCTCATGTCTGGACGTTTGGGTCAGAGTGATCTTCCACTTGAGCCCAAGGGTGTTTGAAAGATGCAGGTTCTAGGCCTGGGTCCATGGCTCCCTTCCTAGATGGCTTCTTGGTCTCCCTGTCTCTAAAGCAGGACTAGTGCCATTAATGCCAGTTCTGTTCACCCCCTTCCCAACAGGAAGTTATGTTTTTGTTTTGCTTTGTTTTTTGAGATAAAGTCCCACTGTTCAGACTGGCCTTCAACCTTCTATGCAGCTCAAGCTGACCTTGAACTCATGGCAATCCTCCTGTCTCTGCCTTCCAAGTGCTGGGATTAGAGGCATGTGATACCACGCCAGGCTACCAACAGGGAAGTTATAAAAACAGAATGAGAGAATCTCATTAAGAATATTCTATTGAGCTAGGAATGTAGCTCAGCAGTAGTCACTTGCCTAGCATGTGCCCTGGGTTTGGTCCCTAGAATGGCAAAAACCAACCAACCAAGCTGTAAACTGAAGGGCCGTGCACCCTAGGACCAGCATGTATTAATACAGACCTTGATGTTATGATTGATTTTATGTGTCAGCTTGTCTGGGTCACAGGGTACCCGGATATTTGGTCAAAAATTACTCTTCAGTGTTTCTGTGAGGGTGTTTGTGGAAGAGATTAACATTTAAATCAGTAGCCAGCAGAGCAGAGTGCCTCCCTGTGTGAGTGGGCCACCTGCAGTCAGCTGAAGGCTTGAATAAAACAAAAGGGCAGAGTTCAAGGCCAGCCTGGACTTCGCAGGGAGACTGTGTCTCAAAAATAAATAAGTGAAACAAAAGGGCAACCACCCCAGGTGAGAGAATTCTTCCTGCTTTCAGAGTCAGCTGGGCATGGCCTCCTCCTGGGTCTTCAGCCTGCTGTCCTTTGGATGCAAGCTGTGCCATGGACTCTCTTGCTTCTGGCCTTCACCCTCAGGCTGGAGCATCCTCACCTCTCCTGGGTCTCCAGCTTGCTGACTCACCCTACAGATCTTGGGACTTTTGCCTCCATAATTGCAGAGCCAATTCCTTATATTAAATCTCTTGCATGCGCGCGCGCGTGCACACACACACATACACACCCCTATTCTAACCCCCATGCATTTGATGAAAACAAATGCAGGTACCCAGCACCTGTTCCATGTGGGGTACAAAATTGAACTCTGCCCTCTAGTGTTATAGGTGAGCAAGTTGGAACAATAGAGATGCGCCACACTGAGCCAGATTTGAGAGACTTTATTTAAAGCCACCATCCAAGAGGGGGCTATTGCTGTGAAATAACTCTTGGCACCGAGAAGCAGTTTGATTTCTCCTTTTAAACCATGCTTTCAGATGGGGAGGGCTCAAGGGGAGAGCAAGTGGGATTTTACAGAAGCAGAACCATGCCAGGTTAGTGGGGGCAAGAGGAAGTTTCACACACTAGGTGAGCCACAAAACATCCTGCAATTGGGCCGGGGATTTAGCTCAGTGGTTCCACCTCCTGGCTCCCAAGCTCAAGCACCCCCGAGTTCAATCCCCGCTACCGAACAAAAAACAAAAAAACCCAAAAACATCCTGCAACTGCAGCAAGTTTTCTGCCAAACAGGATGTGGGCTTTGGGTGCTTTGTCCAAGCACAAGCACACAATGGTGGTAAGACTCGAGATGGAGTCAGGTTGTTTATCACACTAGGACCAAACTGAGCCTTGAACCTAGAAGTTGGTTGGGAGAAGTCAGAGGGGCAGAAGAGCAATGGTTAAGTCAGGACCCTGCCTATGAAATCATGCTCACTTTGAATTCCTACTCTAACTTGCTAGGAGTGTAAATGTGGACAAGTGCCTTAAATTCCAAGTCTCAGCTTTTAATCTATAAAATGGGAATAACAATGGTACACATTTAAGATTGTGGTATGGATTAAAAGAAATCAGCACAGAAAACTCATCAGCCCCAGGCCTGGAGGAGGATGATTAACTGTCCCTGGCAGTACCTGTGGGCAGACCTTGAGGGCAAGGGCTTGGGCAATGCTCTTCTTCCAACCTGGCCTCAGTTTCCCCATAGGCTGTAGCACCCCTCTGGGCTGCAGCACACTGTGGTTTGCTCTGAGACTGCTGAAAGGACTTGGGGTGGGAGGGAGTTGAAAGGACACCCTTTTTGTTACCCCTCCCTGCACCCTGGCTAAGAAGAGAAGGGTTTCAGAAGGATTTGGTATTCTCAGAGCAACTGAATGGAGGCCAGGCCCCCTCCACCAGGGATGAAATCTTTTTTTTTGGCAGGAGGCTAAATTGTCAAATCTCCTTCCCCAGAATCTGGGTCCTAAACTGGATGGCCCCATTCAGCTCCTGCAGGGCCAGGCACCAGGGATCCCCAGGGTTTGTAAATGTAATCAACCTTGAGGTCTCTCACTTCCACAGGTGCAATTAGCCTGCCCATCTGCTAATCCCTGATTAATGATGTTTACAAACATGGGACTCCACCCCTCCTTCCCGCAGTTGGAAGGCAGGGGACTTCCAGAAACACCTCCCCCACTTCCTCAGGCCTCCCCAGCCTGAACCTTTCCCTCTCCTTCCTGTCCTCCTCTTCCTTCCCCTCTTTGGAACCCTGCCCAAATTCTCTTTGCACACAACGTGGAAAAGAAACTGAGAAAGCAGATGGGGACCTCAAGGCTTGGTGCTGGGGCTGGGATCCTGCCCATCCTCCTTTCTTCCCAGTTCTGGACAGTCAAGGGCACACGGTGCTGCCTTTATTCACCACCCCTAATTCAGGCTGGGGCCCCATGGCCATGCCTCCCTGTGTGGAGTCTCAATGGGTACATGTCAGGGGCATGGTGCCAACAGTGGAGAACACAGACACCTGAGCCAGACAGTACTGGGCCCCAGTGTTGGCTCTACTTTTAGGTACAGTGCTTAACTTGATTGAGCCTCAGTGTCTTCATCTATGCAATGGAGATAGAAATAGTATTTCCCATATAGGCTTAAGGTTTATAGATGACGATTAATAATACCATTATCCAAAAGACTTAGCACAGGGCCTGGGACACAGTAGGTGCGCAATAAATGTGGGCTGTTTACTGCAATGCAAATAATAATGATCATGAAAGGAGGCTTCTGAAGCTACCAAAATGCCCGAGGGCTTCTCCCCTCACCCCCTCCCTGGGGAGAGGGGCAAGTCCCAGCTCATTACTGTGGGGGCTGGGGTGGAGGTGTCAGATTGGAATCACTCCTGGGTCTGTTCACAGCTTCCCTGTTTCATTAACACCTC